GAGGAACCCAGGGCCAACCGCACCAGCATATGGTCTCACAAGGGGTCTGAGGATCTCATCTCTGTACCTAATGGCAGTCAGGCTACCTCTGGCGAGCACATGGAGGGCTGTGCGGCCCCCCAAATAAATGCCACCCCACACCATGACTGACCCACCGCCAAACTTGCTGGAGGATGTTGCAGGCAGCAGAATGTTCTCCACGGCGTCTCCAGACTCTGTCACGTCTGTCACATGTGCTCAGTGTGAACCTGCTTTCATCTGTGAAGAGCACAGGGCGCCAGTGGCGAATTTGCCAATCTTGGTGTTCTCTGGCAAATGCCAAACATCCTGCACGGTGTTGGGCTGTAAGCACAACCCCCACCTGTGGACGTCGGGCCCTCATACCACCCTCATGGAGTCTGTTTCTGACCGTTTGAGCAGACACATGCACATTTGTGGCCTGCTGGAGGTCATTTTGCAGGGCTCTGGCAGTGCTCCTCCTGCTCCTCCTTGCACAAAGGCGTAGGTAGCAGTCCTGCTGCTGGGTTGTTGCCCTCTTACGGCCTCCTCCACATCTCCTGATGTACTGGCCTGTCTCCTGGTAGCGCCTCCATGCTCTGGACACTACGCTGACAGACACAGCAAACCTTCTTGCCACAGCTCGCATTGATGTGCCATCCTGGATGAGCTGCACTACCTGAGCCACTTGTGTGGGTTGTAGACTCCATCTCATGCTACCACTAGAGTGAAAGCACCGCCAGCATTCAAAAGTGACCAAAACATCAGCCAGGAAGCATAGGAACTGAGAAGTGGTCTGTGGTCACCACCTGCAAAACCAGTCCTTTATTGGGGGTGTCTTGCTAATTGCCTATAATTTCCACCTGTTGTCTATTCCATTTGCACAACAGCATGTGACATTTATTGTCAATCAGTGTTGCTTCCTAAGTGGACAGTTTGATTTCACAGAAGTGTGATTGACTTGGAGTTACATTGTGTTGTTTAAGTGTTCCCTTTATTTTTTTGAGCAGTGTATATATATTTGCGAGAAAAAAACCCATTGGGGATTGGAAGAGATGCAGACAATTACATTGATGGAAGTTACAATCTATCTGCAATATTAAAGATGATCTACCCCGCAAAAAGAGCATTGAAGCACGAGGCTAAACTTACAAATATATGTTTTATTGTCACACACCGGATGGGTGCACTGAAATGTGTGGTTTTACAGTGTCAGCCACAGTAGTACTTCACCCCTGGAGAAAATTAGGGTTAAGTGCCTTGCTCAAGGGCACATCGACAGATTTTTCAACTTGTCAGCTCGGGTATTTGAACCAGCAACATTTCGGTTACTGGTCCAACACTCTAACCCAGTTGTCACCAACCTTTTCTGAGTCAAGATCACATTCGCAGTCAAAAAGCAAGCAGAGATATACCGCTCAGATTCTTTTTTTAAAACATTACTTATAAAATGTAACGTTAACCTAATAACCAAACTCAAGCTTTGATAACAAAATAGATCAGTTGGTGTAGGTAATTTGCAAATAATTAGCTTTTTTATTTTACTGAACTGATGGTACCTGCATCTGATGGTCATGGTGCTTTCAAGACAACTGGGAACAACCAAAAAACGAGGTCAGAGTTCCCGACTTGGAATTCCATGTCGGATGACCATTCAAAAATATTTTTCCCAGTCAGATCTAGTTTTTTTCCAAGTTCCCAGTTGTCTTCAACGCACTGAAGTCGGAAGTTGGAGATTTCCAAGTTCCCAGTGGTTTCGAACACGGCGTTATTATAAAAAATGAGAGGTTTCACTCTCGCCACAATCTGTCCAAAAGAAACCAATGCGTGTAATGGGCTTCATTTGGGTTTATTTTGTCGCCAGCCTTCCCACCTTTGGGACGACACCCGTTGTCAGGGCGGAGACATGAAGATCTCGTCATTATATACAGATCTCTGCTCTCCATAAAGCCAGCCAGCCATACAAACAGCCTTCCAACCTTTGGGACGACACATGAAGATCTCGTCATTATATACAGATCTCTGCTCTCCATAAAGCCAGCCAGCCATACAATCAATTTCAATCAATCAATCAATCAATCAATTTTATTTTATATAGCCCTTCGTACATCAGCTAATATCTCGAAGTGCTGTACAGAAACCCAGCCTAAAACCCCAAACAGCTAGTAATGCAGGTGTAGAAGCACGGTGGCTAGGAAAAACTCCCTAGAAAGGCCAAAACCTAGGAAGAAACCTAGAGAGGAACCAGGCTATGAGGGGTGGCCAGTCCTCTTCTGGCTGTGCCGGGTGGAGATTATAACAGAACCATGCCAAGATGTTCAAAAATGTTCATAAGTGACAAGCATGGTCAAATAATAATCAGGAATAAATCTCAGTTGGCTTTTCATAGCCGATCATTAAGAGTTGAAAACAGCAGGTCTGGGACAGGTAGGGGTTCCATAACCGCAGGCAGAACAGTTGAAACTGGAATAGCAGCAAGGCCAGGCGGACTGGGGACAGCAAGGAGTCACCACGGCCGGTAGTCCCGACGTATGGTCCTAGGGCTCAGGTCTCTCAGTTGGCTTTTCATAGCCGATCATTAAGAGTTGAAAACAGCAGGTCTGGGACAGGTAGGGGTTTCGTAACCGCAGGCAGAACAGTTGAAACTGGAATAGCAGGGTACAAACAGCCTTCCCACCTTTGGGACGACACATGAAGATCTCGTCATTATATACAGATCTCTGCTCTCCATAAAGCCAGCCAGCCATACAAACAGCCTTCCCTCCCACTACCAGGCGTCCGCATGGTCCTAAAGTCTGCCCTTTAATCCGCTAAACTGCATTTGCCTTCTAATCGGGATTGGAATGATTTTAGTAGCCTATTTTAAATTGTTGGTGTTGACCTTGGTAGAGTCGCCCAATTAACACCCTGAGTAATAGTCTCTTACTGGTACCTCTCTACTCTCTCAGGCATTGGCTGTCAGCGACCACTACCCTGTTGAGGTGAAGCTGATTGGTTACGCCCCTGCTGCCTGAGCACGCCTCCAGGAAGTGTTCAGACGGTTCAGACACTCTCAAATTGCACCCTAATCGCTTTATAGTGCACTGGTCAAAAGTAGTGCACTATATAGGGAATAGGGTGCCAGTTGAGAGTCATCAACATGACCTGTTTCAGTTAAACTCTAACTGTGCTCCTGTTTATTGTTTGTGTCCAACATTCAAGCTGAAACAAGTGCTTTATAAGAGATGGAAGAGCATATATGATTTGCAATGAATTCTATATTCCTTTTGGAGTTTCGTTCTGTAAGCCCCTCAGTAACAGTATCCAGGCTCTGTCGTAGCCGGCCGTGACCGGGAGACCCTTGGGGCGGCGCACAATTGGCCCAGCGTCGTCTAGGGTAGGGGAGGGAATGGCCGGCAGGGATGTAGCTCAGTTGGTAGAGCATGGCGTTTGCAACGCCAGGGTTGTGGGTTCAATTCACACAAAATAATGTATGCGCTCACTAACTGTAAGTCGCTCTGGATAAGAGCGTCTGCTAAATGACTAAAAAATAAAAAATAAAACAAAAGCTGAGATTCCAGTGGAATGACATCAAATCCAACCAGATACACCTATTAAACACGTATGGCTACAGTTTGATCAATTAAACCCAGACCACCATTTGAAGGTTATAAGATTACTTCTCTAAAGATTTTGTCTTTCCCAACAATCTAAAAAGGTGGCTTGGGGTGGTCTAGCGGTCCAAGCCGCTGCCTCTGGATCACATGAACAATGTACCGCTGCCTCTGGATCACATGAACAATGTACCGCTGCCAGCATGGGTTGGAATCCAGCCTAGTGCTCTTCCATCACTCTCCTCTCTCTATCCAATAAACAAAGACTTACAAATATACAGTATAATAGTATATACAGGGAAACCCCGCCCTAAACCAGTGACATCATGGAACATGAAACTCAACACACACATTCCATGGAAGGTATTGTAAAGATGTTTACTTGCAAACCAACAGTACAGGAAAATATCATACGAAAACAAACATTATGTTCACAGACAAAGGCAAGAGGACGATAACTGTACAATCACCGACATCGTAACAGTGCTGTGTGTTTCAGTCAAAACAGTCAAATGTTGTGGCAGGGGGAATAAGGCCAGGGGTGTGTTCATTAGGAACCAAACGGGTCAAAAACAGGGAGCGGACTACCTGATTTTGTCCAATAAGAATCGCTTGTTTTCATTTTCTGTTGCACTACCTTTCGCTACGGTCTGCACTAACGAACACACCCCTGTGGTGTATTCAGTGACATTAAACGTTCTGAAGTTTGCAGACAGAAATAGAATGAAATAGCGACAAAATGTCCTATTATATATGACAGAAAATAATTTATTTTCTACACATTACATTTCTAATTCAACGTCCTGTAACGTTATATCCTCCTGAACAGACCCCATGTTCAATCCAGCAATGGGTGGGAAAACCATATACTGTCAATCACACACTGAGCTGACCAATGGAAACTCTTTAAATGTGGAGGGGAGTGAGCTGTCATTGGGTGGATCCAGTCACTGTTCCCGCCCACTGTAAGAGTGACAAGGCTGGTTCCCTTCCCCCATAATTAATGGCTTGAGGCTGGGTAGTGTCCCAACTGGCACCCTATTCCCTACGTAGTGCACTACTTTAGACCAGGACCCATAGACCTCTATAGGGAAAAGGGTGCCAGTTGGGATGCAACCGGGGGGTGTCTCTCAATAGTTATGGAGACGAGGGATCCACTTCAGACTATTGAGACTCACCCTCAGGTTACTTTCACACGTGTGCCTGGGCATCAGAAGGCATCCTCTTCAAGGATGGCTGTGTTCCAATAACCGTTCCTTAACTCCTGAAGGGTGCACTCGTTCCCAACAAATGTCCTCTCAAATCTATGAAGGGAAGTGAACAAGTTCACACGGGAGAAAGGAGAGATAATTGGGACGTAGCACCCTATTCCCTATACAGAGCCCTGATCAATAGCAGTGCAGTTAGAAGCCCTATGGGGAATAGGGTGCAGTTTGGGTCTCAGACTAGACCTTTCTACTCTTGAGCATCTCCAGGTACATGCGGAGGGACCTCTGGATGGAGTCTTTAGTGATGAAGCTCACAAAGTTGGTGATGTCAGCTTCCCTGTTGGACAGCAGCTTGTCAATGGTCTGTTTCCTCATCATGGACTTGGTGATCTGCCTGGCATGGTCTGGAGGGAGAGGAGAGGTGTATAGGTTAGTGTTAATATAATATACACTGCTCAAAAAAATAAAGGGAACACTTAAACAACACAATGTAACTCCAAGTCAATCACACTTCTGTGAAATCAAACTGTCCACTTAGGAAGCAACACTGATTGACAATAAATGTCACATGCTGTTGTGCAAATGGGATAGACAACAGGTGGAAATTATAGGCAATTAGCAAGACACCCCCAAGAAAGAAGCGGTTCTGCAGGTGGTGACCACAGACCACTTCTCAGTTCCTATGCTTCCTGGCTGATGCTTTGGTCACTTTTGAATGCTGGCGGTGCTTTCACTCTAGTGGTAGCATGAGACGGAGTCTACAACCCACACAAGTGGCTCAGGTAGTGCAGCTCATCTAGGATGGCACATCAATGCGAGCTGTGGCAAGAAGGTTTGCTGTGTCTGTCAGCGTAGTGTCCAGAGCATGGAGGCGCTACCAGGAGACAGGCCAGTACATCAGGAGACGTGGAGGAGGCCGTAGGAGGGCAACAACCCAGCAGCAGGACCGCTATCTCCGCCTTTGTGCAAGGAGGAGCAGGAGGAGCACTGCCAAAGCCCTGCAAAATGACCTCCAGCAGGCCACAAATGTGCATGTGTCTGCTCAAACGGTCAGAAACAGACTCCATGAGGGTGGTATGAGGGCCCGACGTCCACAGGTGGGGGTTGTGCTTACAGCCCAACACCGTGCAGGACGTTTGGCATTTGCCAGAGAACACCAAGATTGGCAAATTCGCCACTGGCACCCTGTGCTCTTCACAGATGAAAGCAGGTTCACACTGAGCACATGTGACAGACGTGACAGAGTCTGGAGACGCCGTGGAGAACGTGGAGTGTGTCAGCAGTTCCTGCAAGAGGAAGGCATTGATGCTATGGACTGGCCCGCCCGTTCCCCAGACCTGAATCCAATTGAGCACATCTGGGACATAATGTCTCACTCCATCCACCAACGCCACGTTGCACCACAGACTGTCCAGGAGTTGGCGGATGCTTTAGTCCAGGTCTGGGAGGAGATCCCTCAGGAGACCATCCGCCACCTCATCAGGAGCATGCCCAGGCGTTGTAGGGAGGTCATACAGGCACGTGGAGGCCACACACACTACTGAGCCTCATTTTGACTTGTTTTAAGGACATTACATCAAAGTTGGATCAGCCTGTAGTGTGGTTTTCCACTTTAATTTTGAGGGTGACTCCAAATCCAGACCTCCATGGGTTGATAAATTTGATTTCCATTGATAATGTTTGTGTGATTTTGTTGTCAGCACATTCAACTATGTAAAGAAAAAAGTATTTAATAAGATTATTTCATTTATTCAGATCTAGGATGTGTTGTTTAAGTGTTCCCTTTATTTTTTTGAGCAGTGTATATATATATAAACATACAGATATAACACAATGATCTGTCTGTCTGGCATGGTCTGGAAGGAGAGCAGAGATATAGGTTATATACAGGATCATGTATAGGTTAGTGTATATATAGGACAGTGTAAAGTTCACTGTATATATAGGATAATGTATAGGTCAGTGTATATATATACAATAATGTATAGGTTAGTGTATATAGGATAATGTATATATCCGTGTATATATAGGATAATTTATAGGTCAGTGTATATATACAATCATATATAGGTTAGTGTATATAGGATAATGTATAGGTCAGTGTATACACAGTGCATTCGGAAATTATTCAGACCTTGACTTTTTCCACATTTTGTTAAAGCCTTATTCTAAAATTGATTTAATTGTTTTTCCCCCTCATCAATCTACACACAATACCCCATAATGACAAAGCAAAAACAGGTTTTTAGAAACTCTTGCAAATGTATAAAAAATAAAAAACTGAAATATCACATTTACATACAGTACCAGTCAAAAGTTTGGACACCTACTCATTCCAGGGTTTTTCTTCATTTTTCACTATTTTCTACATTGTAGAATAATAGGGAAGACAACAAAACTATGAAATAACACATATGGAATCTTGTAGTAACCAAAAAAAGTGTTAAACTAGGGCGGCAGGTAGCTTAGTGGGTAAGAGCGTTGTGCCAGTAACCGAAAGGTCGCTGGTTCTAATCCCCGAGCCGACTAGGTGAAAAATCTGTCGATGTGCCCTTGAGCAAGGCACTTAACCCTAATTGCTCCTGTAAGTCGCTCTGGATAAGAGCGTCTGCTAAATGACATAAAATAAAAATAAATAAAATAAATTAAACAAATCAAAATATATTTTAGATTTGAGATTCTTCAATGTAGCCCCCCTTTGCCTTGGCATTGGTATTTTATTAGGATCCCCATTAGCTGTTGCAAAAGCAGCAGCTACTCTTCCTGGGGTCCACACAAAACACGAAACATGACATAATACAGAACATTAATAGACAAGGACAGCTCAAGGACAGAACTACATACATTGATGACAGCTTTGCACTCTCTTGGCATTCACTCAACCAGCTTCACCTGGAATGCTTTTCCAACAGTCTTGAAGGAGTTCCCACATATGCTGAGCACTTGTTGGCTGCTTTTCCTTCACTCTGCCATTCGACTCATCCCAAACCATCTCAATTGGGTTGAGGTCAGGTGGTTGTGGAGGCCAGGTCATCTGATGCAGCACTCAATCACTCTCCTTCTTGGTCAAATAGCCCTTACACAGCCTGGAGGTGTGTTGGGTCATTGTCCTGTTGAAAAACAAATGATAGTCCCACTTAGCCCAAACCAGATGGGATGGCATATCACTGCAGAATGCTGTGGTAGCCATGCTGGTTAAGTGTGCCTTGAATTCTAAATCAATCACAGACAGTGATTGCAGCAAAGCACACCCACACCATAACACCTCCTCCTCCATGCTTTACCGTGGGAAATACACATGTGGAGATCATCCGTTCACCCACACCACGTCTCACAAAGACACAGCGGTTGGAACCACAAATCTCAAATTTGGACTCCAGACCAAAGGACAGATTTCTACCGGTCTAATGTCCATTGCTCGTGTTTCTTGGCCCAAGCAAGTCTCTTCTTCTTATGGGTGTCCTTTAGTAATGGTTTCTTTGCAGCAATTCGACCATGAAGGCCTGATTCACACAGTCCCCTCTGAACAGTTGATGTTGAGATGTTTCTGTTACTTGAACTCTGTGAAGCATTTATTTGGGCTGCAATTTCTGAGGCTGGTAACTCTAATGAACTTATCCTCTGCAGCAGAGGTATCTGGGTCTTCCATTCCTGTGGCGGTCCTCATGAGAGCCAGTTTCATCATAGCGCTTGATGGTTTTTGCGACTGCACTTGAAGAAACTTCCAAAGTTCTTGACATTTTCCGTATTGACTGACCTTCATGTCTTAAAGTAATGATGGACTGTCGTTTCTCTTTGCTTATTTGAGATGTTCTTGCCATAATATGGACGTGGTATTTTACCAAATAGGGCTATCTTCTGTATACCACACCTACCTTGTCACAACACAACTGATTGGCTTAACTGCATTAAGAAGGAAAGAAATTACACAAATTCACTTTTAAGAAGGCACACCTGTTAATTTAAATGCAATCCAGGTGACTACCTCATGAAGCTGGTTGAGAGAACGCCAAGCGTGTGCAAAGCTGTCATCAAGGCAAAGGGTGGCTACTTTGAAAAATCTAATTTGTTTAACACTCTTTTGGTTACTACATGATTCCATATGTGTTAATTCATAGTTTTGATGTCTTCACTATTATTCTACAATATTAAAAATAAAGAAAAACCCTTGAATGAGTAGGTGTGTCCAAACTTTTGACTGGTACCGCACACACACATATATACACACATGATAATGTATATGTCAGTGTATATGCAGGATAATCTATAGGTTAGTTTATACATATATGATAATGTATAGATTAGTTTAAATACAGGATAACATATAGGTTAGTGTATATATAGGATAATGTATAGATAGATAGTGAGATAGATTTTTTTCACATCATGGACTGGAAGAGAGATCTAGGATAATGTATATAGATAGTTATGTTCTATAAGATACTGTCTGGCATGGTCTGGGGGCAGGAGAAAGATATATAGGATGATAAACTATGTGTGTGTGTGAGATGGAGTGTTCTGACCTGGTATAGCCAGCCACTTGGACATGGTGTCCTGTGCAGTGGAGAGGACCTGGTCCTGAGGTACGAGCCGGTCCACCAGGCCGATCTTCAGGGCCTCAGGAGCGCTGTACAACTGACCCAGCTCCAACGACAGCTCCGCTGTCCGGTTACCAACCGTGTTCACCAACGTGTCCTTAAACCTGGACCGCAACGTGACCATAACATGACCACAACATGAACACAACCACATTCAGCACCTCTCACACGCAGATTCAACACATCGACACTCAGACCAGTACAACATAAAAGCGGTGTGTATTAGTGTGTGTATGTATTAGTGTGTATATACAGTATGTGTGTGTGCATATATGTGTGTGCGTGTTTCACCAGAAGGGAGCTACGATGCCGAGCTGAGTCTCGTTGAGTCCGATGCTGTAGCGAGGGTTATCAGCCATGATCCTATAGTCACATCCAATAGACATGAGACAACCACCTGCTGGACTAGAGCCCTATAGATATATAGATATAGAGAGAGAGACGGGGAGAGAGAGACAGAGAGAGAGAGAGAGAGAGAGAGAGACAGAGAGAGAGAGACAGAGAGAGAGAGACAGAGAGAGAGAGAGACAGAGAGAGAGCGAGCGAGAGAGAGCGAGCGAGCGAGAGAGAAAGGACAGAGAGAGAGAGAGAGCGAGCGAGAAAAGACAGAGAGAGAGAAAAGACAGAGAGAGAGAGAGAGAGAGAGAGAGAGAGAGAGAGAGAGAGAGAGAGAGAGAGAGAGAGAGAGAAAAGACAGAGAGCGAGAAAAGACAGAGAGAGAGAGAGATAGAGATAGAGAGAGAGAGAGAGAGAGAGCGAGAGATAGAGAGAGGTGGTTATCAGCCATGATCCTATAGTAACGTCCAATAGACAGGACAGCTTCCATGTTGGAACCGTAGAGTTTGAGCCAAATGGAACCACACACACGGCTGGGTGTGCTGACTCCACGTTGATGGCAGCTATGGTAACCATGTGGACCCGTAGAGTTTGAGCCACATCTCCTGAACAGCCTTCCAGAACTCTCCACAGCGCTCCGGACTTGTCCCATACATCTCCATGATGTCCAGCCCTGCAGAGAACACCTTGGAGAGGGTCTGGAACGCCACAAAGAAACACACACACGGGGTGAGTTACACATTTATGGTGTCGATCATGTTTTTGTGACAGGACGTGTGTGTGTGTACTGAACCGAGGTGGGTTTTAGGCCCTACAACTTTTGCCCCTCCTTTTTTTCCAATTGATACAAAATCAGTGAGGAATTTCCCGACTCAGTTTACAGAGGACCCCCAAACGGCTACACCTAGAGAGGGGGAGGTGTGGGGGATGCAGGGGAGGGAGAGGGGGAGAGGAGAAAGGGGGGGGTTGGGGAAAAATGAGGAAAAAAAGGGGGGGGGGGGGGTTTGGGAAGGGGGAGGGGGGGGAGGGGGGGGGGGGGAGGGGGGGAGGGAGAGAAGGGGGGGGGGGTGGGGGGGAGGGGGGGGGGCGGGGGGGTTTTTGTGGGGGAAAAAAGGGGAAGGGGGGGGGTTTTTTTTCGGGGGTTTGGGGGGGGGGGTTGGGGGGGGTTTTTTGGGGGGAATGCGTTTTGGGGGGGTTTTTTTTTTTTTTTTTTTTTGTTCCCGGGGGTTTTGGGGGGGTTTTTTTTGGGGGGTTTTTTGGGGGGGGGTTTTGGGTTTTTGGGGGGGGGGTTTTGGGGGGGGGGGGGGGGGTTTTTGGGGGGGGGGGGCCCGGGGGGAGGGGGGGGGGGAAATTTTGGGGGGGGGGGGGGGGGTGGTTTTTTTCCCCCCCTTTTGGGTTTTTCCCCCTTTTTTTTTTTTTTTTTTCCTTTTGGGGGTTTTTTTTTTCTCTTTTTTTTCCCTGGGGGAAAAGGGGTGGGGGGGGGGGTTTTTGGGGGGGGGGGGGGGGGGGGGGTTGGGTTTTTGGGGGGGTTTTTTTTTTTTTCTTTTTTCCTTTTTCCTTTTTTTTGCAATGAGAAGACCAAAAAATACAACAATGGAAAGATAGGGGTAGGCAGCCGGTGTGATTTGAGATGGGGGAGAGGAAGAATGGATGATGGTGTTGGGGGGGAGATGTGCAAGAGGGGAGTTAGAGGGGGAGAGGATAGAGAGGGGAGGAGGTGTGGGTGGAGATGCAAAGGGTATGGAAGAGGGTCGGATAGACGGGATGTAGGTGTGGGTGGAGATGGCAGGGAGAGGGAGAGGTGGAGAGGAGAGATATGAGTAGGTGGTTGGGGAAAAGTGATGCATGGAGAGGTAGAGGAGGGGTTGGGAGATTAGAGAGATTGAGTGCAAGGTTGTGTGGAGAATGCAGTGGAGGGAGAAGGGGTGATACTTGAGAGAGATTTATTTAAGTTGTTGTGGGAGATCAGGGGGGGTAGGGGGGAGGGGGGGGTGAGATGAGAGAGAGGTGATTAGGTTGTGGTGGGTGAGATTGCAGTGAGTGATATGTTTATAGGAGAGAATGGGGATTTCGTGGGGGGAGAAGTGCACTGGATGGAGATGGGAGTTAGATGCCCTTGATGAGTGTGGTGGGGGGGGAGATGCAGGGGATGAGAGGGGGGAGAGGAAGGGATCCATTTGTTATGGAGGTGGTGGGTCTGGGGTTTAAGTGTTATACATTAAGCCGCCAAAATGGCCCTATAAAAATTGTATTACCAGCCTTTGTCTTTCTCTTTATCTCCTTCTCTTACTACTTCGTTCTTTTTTCTTTTCTCTTCTGTTCCTTTCTCCTTGGGGTAATGAGGAGAGATAAGGAGGAGGTGGTGGGGTGGGGGTAGATGCAGGGTATGGAGGGAGGAGGTAGAGGTATCGCAGAGTGATGCGGTTTTTTTGGTTTCGTTCTGCCTGTTCTGCACTTTCTCTGTCTTGCTGGGTCTTATTTTCGACTCTCTTGCGCCTACTTTTCGTATTTACTTTAGGTGGTGTCAGCTGCCGTGGGATTGCGCATGGTTGCGCGTCTAGCGAGGCGGTGTCCTGCTTTGGTGTGTGTTCCGCCTGCCCGTGGCCGCGTTACTAGGTGGCTCGGCGCGCGCAGTTCGGCGGGTGTGGTGGATCTGCCTCGTAGGCCGTGGATTCAGCTTGTGGGCCGCTGCTTGAGTAGAGGTAGTAGGTGGATGGGGAATGCCACAGGGTAGGGAGAGGGGGAAGAAGAAGTATGGCAACGAATGTCAGCCTGTTCTCAGTGGTCCTGCCTACATGAGAACAGGCTGACAGGTGGGATGCAGACTTGGTCCCGTCAGAAGGCTCTGGGTCAAAATAGTACACTATGTAGGGAATAGTGTGTAGGGCCCTATAAAAATAAGGTTCCTTATTTTTTGCCTGCTGCCTTTTGGTTTTGTTTCCAGGTTTAAACCAAAAAATTTTTTCTATAGCAAAACAACCAATTGTGGAAGTCCCACACTGCCTAAACCACATCAGGAGACCACTATTTACAAAAATGACGGTCTGGGAAAAATCTAAGAAATTGCTGATTTTTAATATTTTAATATTTTGGGGTGTTAGTTACCCTTTACTAATGCAATAAACTATTGATCAGTTCAGTGACTGCCTAATTTATTCCACACCCCTGGTCTCCAGTATGGGTTTAAACAAACTATGAAAGTAATACCTGATTGTCCTCCGGACCAGGGTTATCTACCCCTTATTATACAGTCACCTGTTGTCCTCCAGACAGGGTTTTCTACCCCTGATGTAGACCGTACCTGTTGTCCTCCAGGACCAGGTTATCTACCCCGGATGTAACATGACCTGTTGTCCTCCAGCCCAGGTTTCTACCCTGATGTAAGACCGTAACCTATTTGTCCTCCAGGACCAAGGGTTATCTACCCTGATGTAGACAGTAACCCTTTGGCCACTCCAGAGACCAGGGTTGTCTTCCCTTATGTAGACAGTACCTATTGTCCTCTCCAGGACCGGTTATCTACCCCTGATGTAGACAGTACCTGTTGTGTCCCCAGGACCAGGGTATGCTACCCCTGATTAGAACAGTACCTGTTGCCCTCCAGACCATGGTTATCTACCCTGATTGGAGACAGTACCATTGTCCTCGCGACCAGGTTTCTACCCCTGATGATGTAACTACCTGTGCCCTCCAGGACCAGGGTTATCTAACCTGATGATGTAGACAGTACCTGTTTGGCCTCCAGACCATGGTATCTCCCCTGATGAAAATGTAGACAGTGACCTGTTGCCCTCCAGGACCAGGGTTATCTACCCCTGATGTAGACAGTACCTGTTTCCCTCCAGGACCAGGGTTGTCTTCCCCTTATGTAGTGGATAGGGTGCCATTTGGGACAGGTGCAAGACGCTGTGCAGGGGTTTACCTGTACTGCTGTCCAGATCCACCTTGATCTTAGGTGAGGTAGAGTTGTTCCTCCGCTGCAGAGAGAAGCACGGTGAAACACACACTCTCCCATTTCTACTGTGGCTGGACAACTGGGACAACACACCTGCCAAAGAACAACCATTTCATAATATAACAATACAATAACAATATATAATATAACAAACAATATAATAATAATATAACATAACATTATATAACAATATTAAGTTATAGTGAAATAATGCACACTCTAGAATGCCCTTCAAGCCAATCAGAAAGGAGTATTCAACAATAACATGGTATAAAACAATATAATAATATAAAATTATAATATAACAATATAACACCCTCACGTCTACAGCGATTAACCGAAATGTCGGTTATTTTTCAGTTTTAAAAAAATGAATTGACCGACGTCGGTTCAATTATTTGAATTCCATTTTTGTCCTGTCATTGCGCTGCAGTTTCTCTAGAGATAAATCAGATCAAGCCCGAACTGTGCGATGTCGTAGGGACTTGTAGTTTCCAACAGGCCAACGTTCTACATAGTTTAGCTCAGAAAACGTGGTAATTAACTACAATGACCATAATCCGTTGCGCGGCTACTTGTCCGCTCTGTGTTTCTTTTACGCCTGCTACAGAAGAGAGAAGAATGCGTGATCAAGAGGGGATACATAGAAAGAAGTTGCTTCGCGAGGTGTTGGTATTCAACAGTCAGAAAAATATGCCTTATTTAAATTTGAAGAACTACTAAAATAGTGATTTTGTCAGACAGCAGCTCTATAGAGGTGATCAAATAAAACAAATGGAATATACACAACATTTACATTTTAGTCATTTAGCAGACGCTCTTATCCAGAACGACTTACATGAGCAATTAGGGTTAAGTGCCTTGCTCAAGGGCACAATCGACAGATTTTTCACCTAGTCGGCTCGGGGATTAGAACCAGCGACCTTTCGGTTACTGGCACAACGCTCTTAACCACTAAGCTAACTGCCGCCCCAACAACTGAAATATTGTATTAAAGCAATGTGAATAACTGATGGTTAATAAGTGATAAGCAGTAATGTATAAAATGTCAATGTATGGATGCCGGAGTAGCATAATAGTTGGAATATTAACTGAAGTCTGGACACTGACTGCAGGCCTCAGGTAGCCTATTATAATATTAACTGAAGTCTGGACACTGACTGTAGGCCTCAGGTAGCCTATTATCATATGAACTGAAGTCTGGACACTGACCGTAGGCCTCAGGTAGCCTATTATAATATTAACTGAAGTCTGGACACTGACCGCAGGCCTCATGTAGCCTATTATAATATTATCTGAAGTCTGGACACTGACTGTAGGCCTCATGTAGCCTATTATAATATTAACTGAAGTCTGGACACTGACTGTAGGCCTCAGGTAGCCTATTATAATATTAACTGAAGTCTGGACACTGACCGCAGGCCTCATGTAGCCTATTATAATATTATCTGAAGTCTGGACACTGACTGTAGGCCTCAGGTAGCCTATTATCATATGAACTGAAGTCTGGACACTGACCGTAGGCCTCAGGTAGCCTATTATAATATTAACTGAAGTCTGGACACTGACCGCAGGCCTCATGTAGCCTATTATAATATTATCTGAAGTCTGGACACTGACTGTAGGCCTCATGTAGCCTATTATAATATTAACTGAAGTCTGAACACTGACCGCAGGCCTCATGTAGCCTATTATAATATTAACTGAAGTCTGGACACTGACCGCAGGCCTCATGTAGCCTATTATAATATTATCTGAAGTCTGGACACTGACTGTAGGCCTCATGTAGCCTATTATAATATTAACTGAAGTCTGGACACTGACTGTAGGCCTCAGGTAGCCTATTATAATATTAACTGAAGTCTGGACACTGACTGTAGGCCTCATGTAGCCTATTATAATATTAACTGAAGTCTGGACACTGACCACAGGCCTCATGTAGCCTATTATAATATTAACTGAAGTCTGGACACTGACTGTAGGCCTCAGGTAGCCTATTATAATATTAACTGAAGTCTGGACACTGACCACAGGCCTCATGTAGCCTATTATAATATTAACTGAAGTCTGGACACTGACCGCAGGCCTCATGTAGCCTATTATAATATTAACTGAAGTCTGAACACTGACCGCAGGCCTCATGTAGCCTATTATAATATTAACTGAAGTCTGGACACTGACCGCAGGCCTCATGTAGCCTATTATAATATTATCTGAAGTCTGGACACTGACTGTAGGCCTCATGTAGCCTATTATAATATTAACTGAAGTCTGGACACTGACTGTAGGCCTCAGGTAGCCTATTATAATATTAACTGAAGTCTGGACACTGACCGCAGGCCTCATGTAGCCTATTATAATATTAACTGAAGTCTGGACACTGACTGTAGGCCTCAGGTAGCCTATTATAATATTAACTGAAGTCTGGACACTGACCACAGGCCTCATGTAGCCTATTATAATATTAACTGAAGTCTGGACACTGACCGCAGGCCTCATGTAGCCTATTATAATATTATCTGAAGTCTGGACACTGACTGTAGGCCTCATGTAGCCTATTATAATATTAACTGAAGTCTGGACACTGACTGTAGGCCTCAGGTAGCCTATTATAATATTAACTGAAGTCTGGACACTGACTGTAGGCCTCAGGTAGCCTATTATAATATTAACTGAAGTCTGGACACTGACCACAGGCCTCATGTAGCCTATTATAATATTAACTGAAGTCTGGACACTGACCGCAGGCCTCATGTAGCCTATTATAATATTAACTGAAGTCTGGACACTGACCGCAGGCCTCATGTAGCCTATTATAATATGAACTGAAGTCTGGACACTGACCGCAGGCCTCATGTAGCCTATTATAATATGAACTGAAGTCTGGACACTGACCGCAGGCCTCATGTAGCCTATTATAATATTAACTGAAGTCTGGACACTGACCGCAGGCCTCATGTAGCCTATTATAATATTAACTGAAGTCTGGACACTGACCGCAGGCCTCATGTAGCCTATTATAATATTAACTGAAGTCTGGACACTGACCGCAGGCCTCATGTAGCCTATTATAATATTAACTGAAGTCTGGACACTGACCGCAGGCCTCATGTAGCCTATTATAATATTAACTGAAGTCTGGACACTGACCGCAGGCCTCATGTAGCCTATTATAATATGAACTGAAGTCTGGACACTGACCGCAGGCCTCAGGTAGCCTATTATAATATTAACTGAAGTCTGGACACTGACCGCAGGCCTCATGTAGCCTATTATAATATGAACTGAAGTCTGGACACTGACCGCAGGCCTCAGGTAGCCTATTATAATATTAACTGAAGTCTGGACACTGACCGCAGGCCTCATGTAGCCTATTATAATATGAACTGAAGTCTGGACACTGACCGCAGGCCTCAGGTAGCCTATTATAATATGAACTGAAGTCTGGACACTGACCGCAGGCCTCAGGTAGCCTATTATAATATTAACTGAAGTCTGGACACTGACCGCAGGCCTCATGTAGCCTATTATAATATTAACTGAAGTCTGGACACTGACTGTAGGCCTCATGTAGCCTATTATAATATTAACTGAAGTCTGGACACTGACTGTAGGCCTCAGGTAGCCTATTATAATATTAACTGAAGTCTGGACACTGACTGTAGGCCTCAGGTAGCCTATTATAATATTAACTGAAGTCTGGACACTGACCGCAGGCCTCATGTAGCCTATTATAATATTAACTGAAGTCTGGACACTGACCACAGGCCTCATGTAGCCTATTATAATATTAACTGAAGTCTGGACACTGACCGCAGGCCTCATGTAGCCTATTATAATATTAACTGAAGTCTGAACACTGACCGCAGGCCTCATGTAGCCTATTATAATATTAACTGAAGTCTGGACACTGACCGCAGGCCTCATGTAGCCTATTATAATATTATCTGAAGTCTGGACACTGACTGTAGGCCTCATGTAGCCTATTATAATATTAACTGAAGTCTGGACACTGACTGTAGGCCTCAGGTAGCCTATTATAATATTAACTGAAGTCTGGACACTGACTGTAGGCCTCAGGTAGCCTATTATAATATTAACTGAAGTCTGGACACTGACCACAGGCCTCATGTAGCCTATTATAATATTAACTGAAGTCTGGACACTGACCGCAGGCCTCATGTAGCCTATTATAATATGAACTGAAGTCTGGACACTGACCGCAGGCCTCATGTAGCCTATTATAATATTAACTGAAGTCTGGACACTGACCGCAGGCCTCATGTAGCCTATTATAATATTAACTGAAGTCTGGACACTGACTGTAGGCCTCATGTAGCCTATTATAATATTAACTGAAGTCTGGACACTGACTGTAGGCCTCAGGTAGCCTATTATAATATGAACTGAAGTCTGGACACTGACCGCAGGCCTCATGTAGCCTATTATAATATTAACTGAAGTCTGGACACTGACCGCAGGCCTCATGTAGCCTATTATAATATTAACTGAAGTCTGGACACTGACCGCAGGCCTCATGTAGCCTATTATAATATTAACTGAAGTCTGGACACTGACCGCAGGCCTCATGTAGCCTATTATAATATTAACTGAAGTCTGGACACTGACCGCAGGCCTCATGTAGCCTATTATAATATGAACTGAAGTCTGGACACTGACCGCAGGCCTCATGTAGCCTATTATAATATGAACTGAAGTCTGGACACTGACCGCAGGCCTCATGTAGCCTATTATAATATTAACTGAAGTCTGGACACTGACCGCAGGCCTCATGTAGCCTATTATAATATTAACTGAAGTCTGGACACTGACCGCAGGCCTCATGTAGCCTATTATAATATGAACTGAAGTCTGGACACTGACCGCAGGCCTCATGTAGCCTATTATAATATTAACTGAAGTCTGGACACTGACCGCAGGCCTCATGTAGCCTATTATAATATTAACTGAAGTCTGGACACTGACCGCAGGCCTCATGTAGCCTATTATAATATGAACTGAAGTCTGGACACTGACCATAGGCCTCATGTAGCCTATTATAATATTAACTGAAGTCTGGACACTGACCACAGGCCTCAGGTAGCCTATTATAATATTAACTGAAGTCTGGACACTGACCGCAGGCCTCATGTAGCCTATTATAATATGAACTGAAGTCTGGACACTGACCGCAGGCCTCAGGTAGCCTATTATAATATTAACTGAAGTCTGGACACTGACCGCAGGCCTCATGTAGCCTATTATAATATTAACTGAAGTCTGGACACTGACCGCAGGCCTCAGGTAGCCTATTATAATATGAACTGAAGTCTGGACACTGACCGCAGGCCTCAGGTAGCCTATTATAATATTAACTGAAGTCTGGACACTGACCGCAGGCCTCATGTAGCCTATTATAATATTAACTGAAGTCTGGACACTGACTGTAGGCCTCAGGTAGCCTATTATAATATTAACTGAAGTCTGGACACTGACCGCAGGCCTCAGGTAGCCTATTATAATATTAACTGAAGTCTGGACACTGACCACAGGCCTCATGTAGCCTATTATAATATTAACTGAAGTCTGGACACTGACCGCAGGCCTCATGTAGCCTATTATAATATGAACTGAAGTCTGGACACTGACCGCAGGCCTCATGTAGCCTATTATAATATTAACTGAAGTCTGGACACTGACCGCAGGCCTCATGTAGCCTATTATAATATGAACTGAAGTCTGGACACTGACCGCAGGCCTCATGTAGCCTATTATAATATGAACTGAAGTCTGGACACTGACCGCAGGCCTCATGTAGCCTATTATAATATTAACTGAAGTCTGGACACTGACCGCAGGCCTCATGTAGCCTATTATAATATTAACTGAAGTCTGGACACTGACCGCAGGCCTCATGTAGCCTATTATAATATTAACTGAAGTCTGGACACTGACCGCAGGCCTCATGTAGCCTATTATAATATGAACTGAAGTCTGGACACTGACCGCAGGCCTCATGTAGCCTATTATAATATTAACTGAAGTCTGGACACTGACCGCAGGCCTCATGTAGCCTATTATAATATGAACTGAAGTCTGGACACTGACCGCAGGCCTCAGGTAGCCTATTATAATATTAACTGAAGTCTGGACACTGACTGTAGGCCTCATGTAGCCTATTATAATATTAACTGAAGTCTGGACACTGACTGACGGCCTCATGTAGCTTATTATAATATTAACTGAAGTCTGGACACTGACCGCAGGCCTCATGTAGCCTATTATAATATTATCTGAAGTCTGGACACTGACTGTAGGCCTCATGTAGCCTATTATAATATTAACTGAAGTCTGGACACTGACTGTAGGCCTCATGTAGCCTATTATAATATTAACTGAAGTCTGGACACTGACCGCAGGCCTCAGGTAGCCTATTATAATATTAACTGAAGTTTGGACACTGACCGCAGGCCTCATGTAGCCTATTATAATATTAACTGAAGTCTGGACACTGACCGCAGGCCTCATGTAGCCTATTATAATATTAACTGAAGTCTGGACACTGACCGCAGGCCTCATGTAGCCTATTATAATATGAACTGAAGTCTGGACACTGACCGCAGGCCTCATGTAGCCTATTATAATATTAACTGAAGTCTGGACACTGACCGCAGGCCTCATGTAGCCTATTATAATATTAACTGAAGTCTGGACACTGACCGCAGGCCTCATGTAGCCTATTATAATATTAACTGAAGTCTGGACACTGACCGCAGGCCTCATGTAGCCTATTATAATATGAACTGAAGTCTGGACACTGACCGCAGGCCTCATGTAGCCTATTATAATATTAACTGAAGTCTGGACACTGACCGCAGGCCTCATGTAGCCTATTATAATATGAACTGAAGTCTGGACACTGACCGCAGGCCTCAGGTAGCCTATTATAATATTAACTGAAGTCTGGACACTGACTGTAGGCCTCATGTAGCCTATTATAATATTAACTGAAGTCTGGACACTGACCGCAGGCCTCATGTAGCCTATTATAATATGAACTGAAGTCTGGACACTGACCGCAGGCCTCAGGTAGCCTATTATAATATGAACTGAAGTCTGGACACTGACCGCAGGCCTCATGTAGCCTATTATAATATTAACTGAAGTCTGGACACTGACCGCAGGCCTCATGTAGCCTATTATAATATTAACTGAAGTCTGGACACTGACCGCAGGCCTCATGTAGCCTATTATAATATTAACTGAAGTCTGGACACTGACCGCAGGCCTCATGTAGCCTATTATAATATGAACTGAAGTCTGGACACTGACCGCAGGCCTCATGTAGCCTATTATAATATTAACTGAAGTCTGGACACTGACCGCAGGCCTCATGTAGCCTATTATAATATGAACTGAAGTCTGGACACTGACCGCAGGCCTCAGGTAGCCTATTATAATATTAACTGAAGTCTGGACACTGACTGTAGGCCTCATGTAGCCTATTATAATATTAACTGAAGTCTGGACACTGACTGACGGCCTCATGTAGCTTATTATAATATTAACTGAAGTCTGGACACTGACCGCAGGCCTCATGTAGCCTATTATAATATTATCTGAAGTCTGGACACTGACTGTAGGCCTCATGTAGCCTATTATAATATTAACTGAAGTCTGGACACTGACTGTAGGCCTCATGTAGCCTATTATAATATTAACTGAAGTCTGGACACTGACCGCAGGCCTCAGGTAGCCTATTATAATATTAACTGAAGTTTGGACACTGACCGCAGGCCTCATGTAGCCTATTATAATATTAACTGAAGTCTGGACACTGACCGCAGGCCTCATGTAGCCTATTATAATATTAACTGAAGTCTGGACACTGACCGCAGGCCTCATGTAGCCTATTATAATATGAACTGAAGTCTGGACACTGACCGCAGGCCTCATGTAGCCTATTATAATATTAACTGAAGTCTGGACACTGACTGTAGGCCTCATGTAGCCTATTATAATATTAACTGAAGTCTGGACACTGACCGCAGGCCTCAGGTAGCCTTTTATAATATTAACTCCTACAGAATTAAGTGTTCCTTGCAGTAAAATGATACACCAAATGTTAATTTTGTCTCGTGAACAGGTGTGGAGAAATAGGATTTATTTTTCTTTCAGCATCTTGAGAGAATGCGATTGCACGCTTAGGGACCTGTTGTGTGGCCTAAATGCGCAATTTCTGACAGCGACATAAAAGCTGACAGTATTTAATTTTCAACCACATAAACCCTGGTCCCTAAATGTCCTCGATCTATGACCGAAGCAGAAATGTAGACTTTACCAATGTCAACTAGATTGTTGATGATGCATTCATTCTATCAAATTTATGACATCATTCTGGTGAGCTAGGCTTTATCTAAATATTCTAGACAAGCATCAAGTAATGACAGAAGATCAGCTGCATGTTTTTAATTATAGATAAGTTGACTAACAAATAGCCTACTAAATGTCAGAAACTATAAGCAGAAAAATATCTAAATGAGTCTTAAAAACGTTTTTTTTTGTAAACCCGTCGTTCAGCCATCCCTGAGTAACGTGCTCAGGTAGCCTACCCGTCGTTCAGCCATCCCTGAGTAACGTGCTCAGGTAGCCTACCCGTCGTTCAGCCATCCCTGAGTAACGTGCTCAGGTAGCCTACCCCGTCGTTCAGCCATCCCTGAGTAACGTGCTCAGGTAGCCTACCCCGTCGTTCAGCCATCCCTGAGTAACGTGCTCAGGTAGCCTACCCCGTCGTTCAGCCATCCCTGAGTAACGTGCTCAGGTAGCCTACCCGTCGTTCAGCCATCCCTGAGTAACGTGCTCAGGTAGCCTACCCGTCGTTCAGCCATCCCTGAGTAACGTGCTCAGGTAGCCTACCCCGTCGTTCAGCCATCCCTGAGTAACGTGCTCAGGTAGCCTACCCCGTCGTTCAGCCATCCCTGAGTAACGTGCTCAGGTAGCCTACCCCGTCGTTCAGCCATCCCTGAGTAACGTGCTCAGGTAGCCCACATTAGCATTTTGAAGTAATTATTTAACAATCAGATAAACATCATGACTGGTTGTGTTTATACCACATAAAAATGTAGGCTAATAAATGTAAAGTTAAACGACAAATCTTTAATATTAGGCCCATAGAGATCGTATTAAATTCATAGGGATTCTATATGTAATTCTATGATTAGGCACATACACACACAGAAGGTCCCGATACCAGGAAGAAATGAAAACTACTTTCAGCCCTGCTGGAGTGTCTTCACTAGGATCCAAACTGAACCAAAAACGGAATGAAACAGGGAGGGACCTACCTGAATTTGTCCTAATAAACTCTCGTTTTCTGTGCAAAACTCTTTCCGTTTGGAGTAAACGGTTTCCGTTGCAAAACATTTTGGACTAATGATTACACCCCTGATGGTTGACATTGTGACCCTGTATTATAAGACGACGGCTGTGTCTGATATGGCACCCTACTCACTATATACAGTGAGCTCCAAAAGTATTGTGGCAGTTTTTGTTTTGTATCTGTACTCCAGCACTTTGGATTTGAAATTATACAATGACTTTCGGGTTAAAGTGCAGACTGTTAGCTTTAATTTGAGGGTATTTTCATCCATTTTGGGTGAACCGTTTAGAACTTACAGCACTTTTTGTACACTGTCCCCCCCATTTTAGAGGACCAAAAGTATTGGTACAAATTCACTTATATGTGAAAAGTATTTGGTCCCATATTCATAGCACGCAAGGACCAAATCAAGCTTGTGACTCTACAAACTTGTTGGATGCATTTGCTGTTTGTTTAGGTTGTGTTTCAGATTATTTTGTGCCCAATAGAAATGAATGGTAAATACTTGGGCTCCCGAGTCAGCGGTCTAAGGCACTGCATCTCAGTGCTTGAGGCGTCACTACAGACCCCCTGGTTCGATTCCAGGCTGGATCACAACCGGCCATGATTGGGTGTCCCATAGGGCAGCGCACAATTGGCCCAGCGTCGTTACATTTACGTCATTTAGCAGACGCTCTTATCCAGAGCGACTTACAGTTAGTGCATACATTATTCTTTTTTATTTTCATACTGGCCCCCCGTGGGAATCGAACCCACAACCCTGGCGTTGCAAACGCCATGCTCTACCAACTGAGCTACCACCCTGCCGGCCATTGCCTCCTGGTTCGAATCCAGGCACTGCTGTAGCCGGCCGCAACCGGGAGACCAATGGGGCGGCGCACAATTGGCCCAGCGTCGTCCAGGGTAGGGGAGGGAATGGCCGGCAGGGAGGTAGCTCAGTTGGTAGAGCATGGCGTTTGCAACGCCAGGGTTGTGGGTTCGATTCCCACGGGGGGCCAGTATGAAAATAAAAAAGAATAATGTATGCACTAACTGTAAGTTAGCGATGCAGTGCCTTAGACCACTGCGCCACTCGGGTTTGGCCTTCATTGTAAATAAGAATTTGTTCTTAACTGACTTGCCTAGTTAAATAAAGGTTTAAAAAATGTATTGAGCCATTTTGGAGTCACTTTTACTGTAAATAAGAATATATTGTTTTTAAACACTTCTATATTAATGTGATGCTACCATGATTATGGATAGTCCTGAATGAAGCGTGAATAATGAGTGAGAAAGTTAGACACACAAATATCACAATAACAGGGTAGGTTAGCATTTTTCTTGGGCGGGATGGTATGATATTTGTGCTTCTGTAATCATGTTAGAGATGTTCTTATACAACAACAACGCTCTACGATATATTAGTTAGTTGATATTGTTAGTTACTTGATAGTTCCTAGATAGCCCACGCAAACTGACATAAGGTGTCATTACTCGACATAAGGACAGTCTCAAGCGTTCCGTGAACTTTGCTCTAGTTTCTGAAAGTGTTGGCCAGCGAAGGGCAGGCTAGGTAACTACTTAGCCATGCAAGCTAACCACTGATATTCTTGTTTGTTCGCGAAATAGGCCATCAGCACTCATGAGAATTAGCCATTGAACTCTTCCTGCTGTTCTTATTCAATGCCAGGTAAGTTCACATACCTGAAAAGGCGAATTTTGCGGAATTTCTCAACGCATTTGCCATCCCGCCTCGTCAAGTTGACACACACTGCAGCTTGTCTTCTGCCTTGGATGAGGCATTACAAAGGAGGCGTGGCCAACATATCAGTATTTGTATCTGATTGGATCTGAACGCCGTGACCGTGGATGTTGAAAACGTGTTTCCCCCTATCAGACTGCCGGACTATCAACCACACTGGGCGAGTTCGTTTAACAAGGCCCGGTGCCCTGGGTGCGGAGTTTGCACATTTTAGACCATTCCATTTGTCCTTAAAAATCTCTACCAACCCGGGGCATCGGGCCATGCAAAACGAGCTCGCCCACTGACAAACTGGTGGTTGCTTGACAGGGATTGGTTACAGGTTACTTCGAGGACACTGTCCTAAAGGGTCAACGACTGATGACTTGTTGTATTTGTTAAGGTCAGTCGTTGTACAGAGTTAGATACTAATGTATGTTTGACTATTGGTTCAACTGTCGTTCCCCATCTGAACCCCAAATATCAGCTTGTTATACTCCAATGTTTGTCAACAAAGTAAATGTAAAACTATAATTTTCATATCATTTTACATTTACGTCATTTAGCAGACGCTCTTATCCAGAGCGACTTACAAATAGGTGCATTCACCTTATAGCCAGTGGGATAACCACTTTACAATGTTTTTTTTTTTTTATATATCATGCATACATAGCTCTTGCTTTGAATTTATTAAAAGTGGTTACATTTCTCCAGGCCCATCCCTCAGCTTTTTACCAAAACACAGGTGGGGTGGCCGCTTTGTTGTTTCAATTGTGTCCAGCTTTAAATGGGAGATACAATGATAGCGGCGCCCCCCCTTGGAAGTTATTTATATTGTAGCGAATTTGGTGGGTAGCCCCGACCGGGACTAGAACCCGGGTCCAAAGACTGTCAAGCCATCACCTTAACTGTTACGCCATGTTCAGGATCAAGGCTAAAGGCAGTGGTGGAAAAAGTACCCAACTGACATACTTGAGTAAAAGTATAGATACCTTAATAGAAAGTTACTCAAGTAAAAGTGTAAGTCACCCAGTAAAATACTACTTGAGTAAAAGTCTTAAAAGTTTTAAATATACTTAAGTATCAAAAGTAACTGTAATTGCTCAAATATACTGAAGTATCAAAGGTAAAAGTAAAAATCATTTTAAATTCCTTATATTGAGCAAAGCAGATGGCATCATTTTCTTCTTTTTAAAATGTATGGATAGCCAGGGGCACACTCCAACACTCAGACATTATTTACAAAAGATGCATGTGTTTAGTGAGTCCGCCAGGCCAGATGCAGTAGGGATGACCACGTGTTCTCTTGATAAGTGCATGAATTTGACCATTTTCCTGTCCTGCTAAGCACTCAAAATTGAACGAGTACTTTTGGTTGTCAGGGAAAAAGTATTTATGTAGTATATATTGACGTTGCCTACTATCAGATACTGTATTTATTTAGTATACAGAATATTCGGAAAGTATTCAGACCCCTTGACTTTTTCCACATTTTGTTACGTTACAGCCTTATTCTAAAATGGATTCAATTGTTTTTTTCCCTCATCAATCTACACACAATACCCCATAATGACAAAGCAAAAACAGATTTTTAGAAATGTTTGCAAATGTATAAAAAAAAAAAAGGAAATGTAAGTATTCAGACCCTTTACTCAGTACTTTGTTGAAGCACCTTTGGCAGCGATTACAGCCTCAGGTCTTCTTGGGTATGACGCTACAAGCTTGGCACACCTGTATTTGGGGAGTTTCTCCCATTCTTCTCTGCAGATCCTCTCAAGCGCTGTCAGGTTGGACGGGGAGCGTCGCTGCACAGCTCTTTTCAGGTCTCTCCAGAGATGTTAGATCAGGTTCAAGTCCAGGCTCTGGCTGGGCCACTCAAGGACATTCAGAGACTTGTCCCGAAAGCCACTCATGCGTTGTCTTGGCTGTGTGCGTAGGGTCATAGTGTTGTTGGAAGGTGAACCTTCGCCCCAGTCTGGGGTCCTGAGCGCTCTGGAGCAGGTTTTCATCAAGGATCTCTCTGTACTTTTTTCCGTTCATCTTTCCCTTGATCCTGACTAGTCGCCCAGTCCCTGCCGCTGAAAAACAGCCCCACAGCATGATGCTGCCACCACCATGCTTCACCGTAGGGATGGTGCCAGGTTTCCTCCAGACGTGACCCTTGGCATTCAGGCCAAATAGTTCAATTTTGGTTTCATCAGACCAGAGAATCTTGTTTCTCATGGTCTGAGAGTCATTTAGGTGCCTTTTGGAAAACTCCAAGCAGGCTGTCATGGCCTTTTACTGAGGAGTGGCTTCTGTCTGGCCACTCTACCGTAAAGGCCTGATTGGTGGAGTGCTGCAGAGATGGTTGTCCTTCTGGAGGTTTCTTCAATCTCCACAGAGGAACTTTAGAGCTCTGTCAGAGTGACCATCGGGTTCTTGGTCACCTCCCTGACCAAGGCCCTTCTCCCTCGATTGCTCAGTTTGGCCGGGCGGCCAGCTCTAGGAAGAGTCTTGGTGGTTCCAAACTTCTTCCATTTAAGAATGGTGGAGGCTACTGTGTTCTTGGGGACCTTCAATGCTGCAGAAATCTTTTAGTACACTTCCCCAGATCTGTGCCACGACACAATCCCGTCTCGGAGCTCTACGGACAATTCCTTCGACCTCATGGCTTGGT